AACCGGTTCTGCATCTTCCCAAGCGATCGACGATCCCCATAGTAAGGGGAGTCCTCTGCGAGGAGGCTCTCGACGTGAGAGGTAAGTACCGGTCCCATCCCTTCACCCAAGTAGCTGAAGAACTGTTCAGGGTTAACGGTTCGTTCTTCCCCTGGTTCAGAGAGACAAGCCTCTCGGAACCAGGCTGCAACATCGAATAGTGGGTCTATCAGAGCATCGCCGGGGCATTCGACATGTCCCCAGCGGATGTTATCCACTATGGTATACATTCCAGACCCGTCCTTGAGTAGGCGGGCATGGAAACGATCCTGTGAGTAGATACACCTCTGTCCATCTTCGTTGACGATGTCCTCGTCCCCGGGATAGGGTGCCCCACGTACTAAGAGTTCTGCGGCGCGTACCGCGATTGGGTCGCGTCGCCAAAACCACCTCCGTGATTTTAAGGTACGTCGTGGAGTGCGACGCTTCTTTTTCCCGTAGTACTTCTGACAAGGTCGAGTTCCCTTCACAGGAGTCCCCCGGGGTATATGAGGTTTACCAATAGGTGGCTTCCCCCTTCTCCGGCTAGGTTCTCCCATCATAGGGCTGAATGCCACGCCGAAGAGTTCGAGGTGCCCCACCGTAATCGAGTCGGTGGCTTCGGTAGTCTCAGCTAAGTCCTTCAATTTTTCTGTGTTCGACAGGTCGATATTGACGTTGAAGTTCTCGACACCTGGGGGTTTATCCTCCCGTCGAGGCTTCATAGCGTATCCTTCAGGACAGTTGCGCGAGAGGTGGCCAGGCTCTTTGCAGCGGAAGCATTTCCCAGCTGCCCTTAGTTTGGCCTTCTCTCGCTCGCTCATCTGTGGCCGAGCGGGTCGATCTTGAGACCTTCCGCCCCCAGCAGTATTGGAATAGGAATTGGTCCTTCCGGTAGGGGAGGGCCATTTTTTATGGGCGTGGTTCAATCGATTGTTATTCGATCGCCCTCCGTCAGATGCTCGCGCTGCATGCGCGGGCGTCGATGGCTTGACAGGTGAGTGTTTAGACGACCTATCGTCTTTCGGCCGTTCCTTCGCGGTATTGCTCGTAGCCAGCGATACCTCAAAGCGATTAGCCCATTTCTCAACTTCTGCCCATGAGGACGAATCGGGATCTAACTCTTTCTCCCACAGTTTGGCTTGGATGGGTTTATTCAGTCCCTTCCATAGCTTTACAACGCGTTCGCGTTTGCTGTACGTGCCCACCATGTTGATTAACTCGGTGAGTTCGAAAATATATTCTTTGACCGTTCTATTGTCCTGATAACAGCGGTTCAACTTAGCGCGAAGCTGATCACGGAAGTTAACCGGGAAACAATAGTCGAACAGGCCCTTCAAGAACTTCTCCAAGTCCCGGGCTCCGTCAGCGGAAACGATGTTGTAATAATCGTAGGCTTTCCCATCCAAGTAGCGAGATATATATCTCACTTGCTTTTCTTTCTCCAGCCGTCCATCCTCGACGTACGCGATCGCTTCCGACATAAATTTGTTAAAGCGCCGTACGTCAGGTGTCCCATCATAGGTCGAGGGGGGCTGCGGCTTCAGAATGCTTTTGTGAGTATTCTCCCGTTTCTTCTTGTCGCGAGGCTTGTCGCGTTTGACAGCCTTTTCGACATTCTCATAGCGCTTTCGCCAGGTACCAGCTGACGAAGACGAGCTCGAATCGGGGCCCGACGAGCTAGGGTCAGGTTCCGAGTCAGTCAACAAGTTAGGTGCATCCCTTTCGCTCGACGAAGAGCTGGAATGGTCCGAGCTATCCGACGAGTCCGGGGACCCTGGTGAGCGCTCATTCGATTTCCTTAATCTATCGAAGGTTTTACCGATGGCGCTTTTAGGGTGTACCTGATTAACAGGTCGTAACCCTTCGTCTCCCTTCTTCTCAGAGGGGGTTTTCGACGGCCGTCCCTTACGTTTGGAAGGATCGACGGCGCCACGGCCCTTCTTCTCTTTCGAGGTGAGTGGCTTCTCCACTGCGGGTTCTTTGGGTAAGGTTTCACCTTCCAATTCGGCTTCCAAGCGTGCGGCCAATGCTTTCAAAGCGTGGATACGCTCGCGCTTGGTGTGCGATTGTTCAACAGGTTCCTCGGAGGGTACCACATTGTTATTAACACTGTAGTTACTAGGAGCACGAATACCGGAGTTCTGTTTTTGTTTAATAGATTTCCAGTTTTGAAGCGCAGCAAGCTGCGTCTCGATGTCATAGTCTGACTCTTCGAGACCCGCAGCAGCCCAGTTCCTTGGGTCGACCGCCTTCCCTTTAGACTTGGAAGGACCGGCTTCTCCCCTTCCAGCCACAGTGGCGTTACCCAATAGAGTAGCGGTGTTACCCGGTTTGGAAGGCATGTGTGGCGTGAGATATCTTTCTGTCTCAGACGCCGAACCTTCAGACTCTACACGAGCCCGTTTCTTATTCTGAATTGACCGGTTCCCGCTCGAGGCGGGGCTTCGGCCGCGGCGACGGGTAACCGTTTCCCAGGTTCCCTCGTCGTTCTCAGGGTTGGCAGTAGCGCCCTTCTCTTTCTCGCCAGCACCCAGCTGGTTCAATTCTAGTATTTTACTATTACTAGCTAATACATCCGCAGATATATTATCGTTCCTCGGAGCAGCGCGCGGCGTACTCGTCAAAGGAAGTTCTACCCTCCTCTCGTCAGAGGAGGGGCTACACGCTCGCGCAGCGTCGGCGTAAGAACGCTCAACAGCTGGGGCGGCGGGGGCGGAGATGTATCCGCCCTCCGTATCAGATGGAGGGGGCTCAGAGAGCGCCTCCGAGTCCGACTGGGCGGACTTCTGTTGCGGAGCGATTTTTTGAGTAACCCGTGCCGCCGGGGCACGGGCGCGGGTGGTTCGGAGCGGGTAGCGGGAGGTCATTGAGTGGCGATGGTCGGAGTTGAGTCGGAGTCGAAATCGGAATCGAAGTCAAAGTCGAGTGTCGCTGTCGAAGTAGAAGCCGTCGGAGGTCACGGGTGATCAGCCCAAGAGTCGCCCAGACGAATAATACTAAGCAGAGACTAGAGCGAGAGCTTTGGTTCTGTCAAAAATATGTGAGGTTTCGGCGTAGTCCGATACCGCACACGACGAATAGGGTAGGCAAATGTTCACACGCTCGTAGACAGTGGTAAAGTCTCGATTGTAGAACGCCTGTCTCTACACGGTACAATACTAGGTCTTTTATATGATAACAGTAGGGTCTAGACAATGGAAAACTTCCTGAACGCTGAGTAAGAGGGTAAGGAAAATAATGAGGGATACAGCGATACTGAATACTGTGGCTGCTCGATCCCTAAGCCACAGCCCGATCCTCAGCCACAATCGGCACGGCACGCGAGTCTCCCCACGCCTGGACCGCCTATAGCCCCCGTTCCCGGGCCGAATCCTCACA